AATATAACCAACTGTTGGCAGGGGAAAACTCAGCTTTCTTCGGTTGAAACTCAGAGCATTATCTTCCTATGACAATAACACGTCATGAGTCAAGGGCAGCACTTTTGGCTTAGTCTTTCATATATGTTGATCCCACCATAGACAAGTAAGTCTATCATTGTTCACATTTTATTTCCAAGCAGCAAAGTAAGGCCATGGAGGAAAGGAGAACAATCATATGCATCTTTATTGAAGAAAGGAAAGGTTATCTACAAATCTCTACACTTGTTGGCATAAATAGAGACTTTCTTCCAAGTCCCAGAAGTCTTCTCCTCAGATATTTCTTGGGCTGTTGCACAGAGCTGGAGAAATCTCTGTCTTGAACCACATCTGCTCAGTTCCTGGATCTCAGTGTACCTATGACAGAGTTTGTCCCTGCCAAAACTGACCCATCTTTTCTGGTATCCATGTTAGTCACTTTCTCTTTGCTGAGACAAAATGCAATTTAAAGAAGAGGGATGACTACTTTCAAAAAGAGAACAGTTCTCACAGAATTGACGTCATTGCAAACACTATCCAAAGTGCGAGTGGTCCTCATGACTACCCTTCTTTTAGACTAACTGGTCACAAATGTTTGACTCTCCTATGATTACCCTCAGGTTTTCTAACATTGCAATATCTGGAAGAACTCTGGTGTATATGATCAAATGTTGAAATCCTGCTGTTAAGGATTAAAAACTGGTGGTCAACTTAACACCAGCTGAATTAAATTGCTATGTTGCTAAGTGTAGATGGCCAATCTGAGGAAAGGTGCCAGCATAAAAGGACACATGGAAAGGAAGAGTGGCATTGTGGGTTTTCTTAAGTGTTGTTGTTTGGAGCTGTTGGTTCTTCTGGAGGACCTTGTGAAGTTCTTCTCTGATATGAACTCAGCCTTTATCATCAGAGGAGCTCGGGACCTTGTTGCTATGAATGGCTGTGGTTCACTTTGGGGGAGCTCTGGTCCTTAAATTGAGCATCACCTCCTGATTCCCGAGGGGAAGATTTGTGCTGTTCAATTTTCAGAAAAAGCTTGTCATGCTGGCTTTCTGCTGTGTACTTGACAGTTTTCTTTGTCAGAGGAGCCCAGGACCTCACTGTTGCTGAGGATGGCTTAGGTACTATTCAGGGTAGCCCTGGTCCTTATCTTGAGCATTGCTTCTTGGCTCCAGTGCAGATTCTTCCACCTACTGGCATAGACCCTTCATCCCGCTGGCACAGACTTTCTAGCTTCCACTGCTGACAATTGGACCTTTCTAGTGCAGATCTGTAAAACAGATTTGCATGAGTCACTGTCGTGGGCTCTGGGCCTCCTGTTGGATTTGTGGGAGGCACTGTCATGGGCTTTAGGTTTCCAGTTGTACTCATGCAGCACATTGCTATGGCATTCAGGCCTTCTGATGGATTTTCTAGGTCTTTAGCGTTGTGGACAGATTTCCTGCTCTTTCTTGTATTTAACTCTGGGTGGGCCATCATAAAATAATGTTATAAATTCTGTGTTATAAATTCCTGTAATTGTTCTCCTTGCAACTCCTGACCATGACACCTACAGTACTCCAGTGTGATAGTATTAATAGGAAGAATAGTTGGGAGGTAATAAAAATTAGATAAGGTCCTAAAGGTGGAGCCCTAATGAGTGACTTTTGTCCTATTGAGTGTGTGAAAAGAGACCTTGCTCCCTTTGTGCTCTCTGTCACTCCAAGATTGAGTGACAAGTTAGCAGCAGACAACTTGGAAGAAAGCCTTCCACAGAGGGCTAGGTGTGTGGCCAGTGACCAATTGGTAAGAACAGCAGTACGGAAGTGGAGCTGGGTTGACTCAGCCTTCTTAGCAAAAGACAGGGATCTGGAAGGGACCACAGCAGCAGAAGCACCACCAGCTCAGAGCAAGCGAAGTGCACAGAAGGGAAAAGTGGAAGGAGGACTTCTGAGACACCTCAGACTTGTACTGTGGAACTGTTCTGGTAAGATGTGTCATTCATCACGGTGTGTGAAGGCGACACAGCCATCATCAGAGCTACAGCTCAGACTACAGCTTGAGAATTTATGGGTCCCCAGTGGGGGGCAGCATTTCCTCCACCTCAGTCCCACTGTTCCACCAGTGCCTGCCAGAACCTTCAGCGAGGCTGCCTGGATGCACCTGGCTGTAAGCCAGTCCCAGAGGAAGACTGGATGGGCCCTGCTCAGCTGTGTGTTTGTGATGTTTCATTCATGCGGGTCAGAAACGGAAAACTTTGCTCCTAACTGTTCCAGGAAACAGTGTGGATTAATCCAGAACTTAGGATCTTACAGCCTTCACTTTCTTAACTTTCTGACTTTCCGGGGACTCTTTGGAGTAGGGTGACTCTGTCTGTTTTATATGCCTCCTCCCTCATATACAAGTCCATAGCATATTTGTTTTCAGACTCGGAGCTGGACAGGAATTCTGCCTCATAATAAATTAAAATGTGACCCTCATCTTTGTCTTATCTACTTAATATTGACCTAAGACTTTGGACTTCAGACCTCAGGGTTGATGGCAGAATACATTAAGAATGAGATTGTTGACATGGAGTGAATGTGTTTTGAACACAAGAGGAATATGAAACTTGGGGGACTGGGTTGGACTATCAGGGATTGAATATTTGTGCCTTCCTAAAGCTTTTATGTTGGAATCTTGACTGCTTGGGAAAGGAAGTCATGAAGGTGCAGCCCTTTGAGAGGGGTGAGACAGTTCTCTGTGCCATTTTTCTATAATGAGACATCAGTGGTGTGTACCCAGGAGGAATGTGCTCCCCTATATCCATGCCAGTATTCTGATTTTGGACTTATAGCTCCTTGAACTGTAAGGAAGAGATTTTCGTTATTTGTAAACTATCTCACCAGTAGTATTTTATTATGGGAGGTAATCTAAGTAAGACATCAAGAAACCACCAGACATCCATGCACATTACACTGCAGTACAAGGATTTAAATAAGAATCTGCCAAAGGGGGAGAGGCTTAGTGCAAAGACTAGAGGATCCCAAACTGGAAGTCCCACTGCCCTCAGGACTGCGTTACCTTTGGATCCATGAGGACAGTAAAGCTGGGTGGTGTCAAGCCAGGAAACTCAGCTTAGCCTTGGTGTCCAGAGTTTCAAGAGGGCTTGAATACGCGTTGACCACATCACTGATTGTAGACAGACATTATCTTCAGACAAAGTTGTTTTGGATTTTGAAATTGCAGCAGAATGTGTGACAAAATCCCATGACAAATCATACTTTTAGACCGTCTGACAACCAGCACCTCAGGTAGAGGCAGACAATCCTACTAGGCAAGGTCTTCCACTGGTGGTCTCATGGTAGCTCAGGGCAAAGGCTAGAACTTTTGTCAGGAAAGCTTAATTCTTTGGTACACTCTCTCTGTCAGCTGGAGTAAGGAACACCCCAATGAATTGGATCAGCATAGTCCTGGGTGTGTCCTAGGGAATTCACTGCAGACAGAAGACCCATCCTGGTTAGACTTGTTGCCTAAATGGTACATCAGGGAAATGAACAAGGAGGGCTGCTTCTGCGTGTTTGCCGGAGTTCCAGTCCTCACCTTGATCTTGGGTGTCATCTCCTGGCTTCTGGTGCAGACCCTTCAGCCTCCTGATGGACTCACATGGGACAGTATGGTTAGCTCTGAGCCTTAGACTGGGTCCTTCAGCCCCACTGCACAGACAGCCCTTCCGCACTCTCCCACTCCAGACTCTGCGGGCGCCCATTGCAAGACAATCTTGTAAATATTTATACATTTGTATATCTTGCTTTAAATTGGTGTCTCTAGTGAGCCCTAACTGGTGCTCCCCCAAATATAAGACCCCAATTATAGGACCGTTATTCAAGACCATATCTCAGGAATTGACTGGAGAACAGAATATATATATATATATATATGAAAGGACTTACAGGATTACAGCATCAAAAGTAGGATAGTTTAAAATAGTCGTCTGTATGCTGGGAAGCCAGAGAGTCCAGTGTATCCTCAGTGGACATCCCACGGGGTCAAGCGACTACTTCAGGAGCTTCTGGGTGGCTGTGACTACTTTAAGTAAAGTAGTGGCCTGTGCATCATTAAGATGTGAAGTACAGTCTGTGTACTGAAACTTTTTGGCTAAGAGTTCTTTTCTTGATGCAAAGGGCTCCAGTCTGTCCCTTACTCTAATTCTCATTTAGTTCTTATAGATTAGTGTTGTTGGTTTCCACTGAAATTATTGGTGCTCCAGTTTAACACAAACAAGAACCTATAAGATTTAAGAAGCTTCTGTTTCTAAATTATTGTCTTTAAGGGAGAAATAGAAAGCACTTTAGAGTTTCTTTTTCTAGGAAAGAAAAAATGGAAAGAATAAAGAGTGTAATTAATGACAAGCATTTTCAGGTGTCAGGAAAGAACAAATATGGCACAGCTGTGTAGAGATTTTTCTGAGGCACAAGATGGTTTTTTTAAAGCCATTGTTTTATTTTAAGTTCAGGTTTGTGCAATAATTTGAATACAAATTACAAAAGATGTCACTGTGCACAATTTAGAGAAACTGTTCAAAAGAAAGGACAAGAAAGTGCATTTTCATGTTGATAATATGCAAGTAGATTTTCTATGCATTGTGAGCAAATTAAAAAATATTGGACACATTTATATTATTTTATAAATACTATATTATAAATACTGTATTATCTATATTATTTATAATACTATTTACTTATTATAAATATTTTATAAGCTGCTTAACATTTATAAATATTTTACAATCTTCTTGATATTTTTTAACCATCTCCATGTGGAGCGTTCTATATATTTTCAAATTGTATTCCAGGGAAAATGAGTCTCTGGAGATATCTTAAAATATTGTTTATATTCCAACAATTTAGCTAGTGACTTTGGGGTAATAATCTGAAAATTGAATGCTGGCATTTTTAGAATAATTAAATTGTGTTAGTGCATCTCCACTGAATTCTTGATGTTGAATTTTAGCAATTTTGATGTAATCAAAAGAACTTTTGGGCTATCATTTTCACAGATTCTTTGACCTCCTTGTTTCTCAAGCTGTAGATCAGAGGGTTCAACATGGGAATGACAGTGCCATAGAATACAGAGGCCACTTTCATGTCCTCCTGGGAATGCTCAGAAGGAGGCTGTAAGTACATGTAGGAGAGGGTCCCGTAGAAGATGGTGACAGCTGTGAGGTGGGAGGCACAGGTGGAGAAGGCCTTCTTCCTCCCTGAAGCAGAAGACATCCTTAGGATGGCAGCCAGGATGTAGATGTAGGAGAAGGTCACGACTGACACAGTAAATGTCAAGTTGAACCCCACAAAGATAACAAGTGCAATAATGTTGATGTCAATGCTGGAACAAGAAAGAGCAAGAATTGGGGGAACATCACAGAAAAAGTGATTGATGATGTTGGACTTACAGAAGGACAGGGAAAATGTAAAGCCTGTGTGCACAGAGGCATTTAGTGATCCCATGAGGTATGAGCCAGCTACTAGCAGAATGCAAACTGTTTGGGACATGATTATGGGATAGCGAAGTGGTTTGCAGATGGCTGTGTAGCGGTCCACTGCCATCGCTGCCAGGAGGTAGCAGTCGCTGGTCGCAAATGTCGCATACACCAATAACTGGATTACACACCCTCGGAATGATATGGATTTGTCTTCTGCCATGAAGTTCTGGAGCATCTTGGGAGTGATAGCAGATGTGTAGCAGATGTCAACAAAGGCCAGGTGTTGCAAGAAGAAGTACATGGGTGTGTGCAACCTGGAATCCGTGTTGATGAGCAGGATCATCGCAGTGTTACCCAACATGGATGTCACATAGATCACAAGAAATACCAAGAAGAGGATGGAGTGGAACTTCTCTTGGTCTCTAAATCCCAGCAGATAGAATTCAGTCACCTCAGTGCCATTTCCTTGTGTCATGGCTACCAAAAGTCTGGACAGGATGGAGAGAAGGACCAGGAAAAGAAGGACAATCTTCTGGAATTCCTCAAATGAAAGGTCCTTACCTTTCACATCACTGTTTTTGACTTTGACTTGCCTAAAAGACACAAAGGGTTTATTATTTTTGATAATACATTAGAGTTTTCAAATAAATTTGTCCTCTTTTTTGAACATGTTTTTTTAATATGTAACTTAACATATTACATCTTCTTAACAAACATGTTTTGAACATGTTTGAACAAGTTTTTTGAATATGTAACTTAAATGATTTTTTATTTCACAATGCTAAAAATTCCTCATAATATTGTGATACTTTGTTATGTTTTGGGCACACCAAAAAAAGTTCAAATAAATCCCAAAATGGAACCTCTGAGTTTTACAGTGCAGTAACTTGAATTAATAAGTTCTGATTTTATAAGAAATACTGAGGAGTCTGGATTAAAATTCAAGTGAGGATCTAAATTGATATTATTACCCCAACGTTAAACAGATTTATCGTATGTTGAGTATATATGGTTGAATAACTACTGAGTTCTACGTACGTGGTGGACGCTAGCTCTCTATCCAAAGAGCTGCTAGCAAAGATTGTTTTCCCATTTAGTGAGCAGCCTTTTCATTCTTGTTTCCTTCACTGTGCAGAAGCTTCTTAATTCAATGTGACCCCACATATTGATTCTCATGTTATTTCTCATGTGATTGGAGGCCTATTCATGAACTCTTTTCCTGCACCTGTGGCTTCACATATTTCCCTTGTGGTATCTTCCAACAGTTTCAAAACTTCTAGTTTTACACTAAGGTCTTTGGGGCTGGGGATTTAGCTCAGCGGCATAAGCACCTGCCTTGCAAGTGTGTGGTTGTGAGTTCAATCCCTGATACCTATAAGAAAAGAAAAAGACAAAAAATAAAACAAAGCAAAAAAAAAAAAAAAAACCCCCATACACCAAGGTCTTTGATCCATTTTGCTTTGACTTAATACAGAATGCGAGATAAGGATCTAGTTTTCTATTTTGAATGTGAATATCCAATTTTCCCACTAGCATCTGTTAAGAGCCTCTTTTCTCCAGCATGGATTTCTGGTCGCTATGTTAAAAACCAAAGAGCTGTAGGTACATAGAGTTGTATTTGTGTTTTTGTTCTATTTCACTGGACCAGGAAAAGAAGGACAATCTTCTGGAATTCCTCAAATGAAAGGTCCTTACCTTTCACATCACTGTTTTTGACTTTGACTTCCCTAAAGACACAAAGGGGTTTATTATTTTTGATAATACATTAGAGTTTTCAAATAAAATTGTCCTCTTTTTTGAGCATATATAACTTAAATGATTTTTTTATTTTACAATGCTAAAAATTCCTGATAATATTGTGATACTTTAATTATGCTTTGGTACACCAAAAAAAGTTCAAATAAATCCCAAAATGGAACCTCTGAGTTTTACAGTGCAGTAACTTGAATTAATAAGTTCTGATTTTATAAGAAATACTGTGGAGTCTGGATTAAAATTCAAGTGAGGATCTAAATTGATATTATTACCCCAACGTTAAACAGATTTATCGAATGTTGAGTATATATGGTTGAATAACTACTGAGTTCTACGTACGTGGTGGACGCTAGCTCTCTATCCAAAGAGCTGCTAGCAAAGATTGTTTTCCCATTTAGTGAATAGCCTTTTCATTCTTGTTTCCTTCACTGTACAGAAGCTTCTTTATGGGCCAATATCGTGTTAGTTTTCTTACTATGACTTTTTAGATAATTTGAAATGTTATTTTTATGCCTCCAGAATTATTTTTTTTCATTCAGAATTGCTATAGACATTCTTTTTTAAAAAATATGATTCCAGTGAATCTTATGATTGCTATTTCTAGCTCTGTGGAGAATGTTGTTGGTATTTTACTAAGAATTGCATTGAACCTGTAGGCTGCTTTCAGTAATACGGCCACTGAGAAAGACGGTCTTTCTGTTCTCTAGTGTCTTCTCTGACTTCCTCAGAATTCTGTAATTTTCATTATAGAGGCCTTTCACTTCCTTGGTTAGATTGATGCCTAGATATTTTAACTTTTTAAAGCTATTGTGAGTGAAATTGTTTTCCTGATGTCTTTCTTAGTGGGTTCGTTACTGGTAGACCAACTGCTTTTGATTTTTGCACGTTTATATTATTTTCTTGATAAGGAGCTACCACATAAATAGTGCACATAAACCATAGACTTATTTGTAATAAAACATGTCACCAAAAAACCCAAAAAAACCAGTATCTGGGGCTGTGGATTTAGCTCAGCATCATAAGCGCCTGTCTTGCAAGCAGGCAGTCGTGAGTTCGATCCCTGGTACCGATAAAAAAAAAAAAAACAGTATGTAAAACATGTCACAGACCAACACTTTTAATGCATGACTCTAAAAATATAAACTACTGCATTTTTCCTGTATACTAAACAATAACTGCACTTGTATGAGTTAACATTCAAATACAAGTTGGTATTTTTCAGTAGTCGCCTATTTTTGTTATCTATTTGTTAATTTATACTTTAATTATAGATCAAGATCTTCAACTTAATATTAGAGCAAGAAGAATTTTCTGAGTTATACTTACGTTGTACACATTTGAGGGAAATAAGCTTGCATTTTTCCATAGGAAATGCTTATGAACTAGCTTAAAAAATTCTGTGGTTTATCATTAACATATAATGCCAGCTTATTTTAAATCATCAATGTCTTTATTTTTCTGAATCATGATACTTTTTTCAAACCTTGACTTCCACTTTATTTTAAAACTAAAATGAATAAAAACGTTGATAGGGAATTTCAAAACAAAATATTAGGAGGTTAATGATGATTAATACATTGCATACAGTTATCTTCAAAGTAGTTATTCAGATTGCAAGATATAGGCATGAAAAACATGATCAAACAATGAAAGTACCAACTGTTCCTTTTGATGAATTAACAGAGATTTGTAGTCTAATTATCTTTGTTTGTATAGATATATTAATTTATATATTATCTTTTTAATTTCTTTCTTGATATTTCTTACCTGGATAGCTAAGATACACTGATGGATAATTGTTCTTATCAGTCCTAAAATTCTCTGGTTTTGTGTCTTTCTTCCTAAATATCTTTCTGCGCTCCTCAGCATTGCTCGCTGTGGATGATGAACGCTATGGACTCTTGATGTGGAAGAAACGCGCTCCCTGCAGAAGCATGTACTACACATCTGTTCCTCTGTGCACCTCACCTCCGCCATCCTCGAGGAGCTCATGACCCCACGCTCCATCCCACGGAGCAGCGGCTAAGGTAACGAGAGCTTCACCAAGGCCTGAGCCAGTCCTGCTGGCCCCTTGCCCTCTGCATTGAGCATACGGCCTCCTACTCCCTTCTTCATTATCAGTTTGCTGGATTTGGGCATCCAGGGAGGCTTTCCGAGTCAAGTGTTAGGGTTGCCAGATACATGCAGAACGCGAAGTTAAAGTCTGAATCTCAGATGAGAATTTTCAGCATGAATGTTGCCTACATGTTCTATGGGAAATACGAACAGTGAAGACTCACTTGCTGTTTATCCGAAATTCTAATGTAGCGGGGCATCCTGGGATTCCTTGGTGAAGTCACAGGGCCTGAGTTGTGCTGCTTATTGCGGTCCACACAGCTGGATTCCGATGGCCCTGCAGAGCAGGGTCACTGTCTCAGCCCATTTTGTGTTGCTGCAGCATGGTACTAGTCTTGGCAATTCACAGACAGAAGCCTATGGCCTCTGAAGGCTGGGAATGCAAGACGGAGGGCTGAGCCACTGCATGGATGAGGGGCTTCTTTCTGCCTCCTCCTTTGGAAGAGGGAAGAACTGTGCGAGGAGAGCTCAGCTTGCTTTCATGACAAACCAACTCTCAAGACAAATAACCTTGTCTCACTGTCACGGCAAGCACAGTCTTGAGGTGTCTGCCTCTTCGGATGTCAGACCTCCCAAAGCTGTTGCTATTGCACCAAGATTAAGGGTCCAACAGGGGCACTTTGGGGAGCACATTCCATCCTCGGCAGTCCCCTTGCCAATCACAAGCTTCACCAGCTGCTCCTGTGAACTGAGAATCTATAGTGTTGTCTGTCACTGAGACTCAGGATTTTATTTCCGTAAAATTAGTGTCATTTTAAACAATGACCAGTCATGCAATGCTACAACTTTTTTTAAAGGCATAAGTGGAGGATGATTTAAGAGCAGTACAAGATATAAAAGCAGTACAAGACTGAACCCGCAGTAGGGGAAAGTTGGAGTCCACTACACTTCACTGCAGTTCTCTAAAAGCCAATGTACGCACTGGGAAAAGGAGGAAGGCAGGATTAAAAGAACATGGGTTGGTTAAGACCCATCTAAAGAAGCCATCAAAGCCACCTTGGTGTATCAGTGTGAACATAAAAATATTGAGCTCACTTTTCACCTAAAGAATAGAGAAGAGCAAAAGGCCACTGGGAAGAAGCAGAAGCTTCAAGAGAAAGGTCGCATCTTAGAAAACTCACCCAATCCCTGAGCATGCACTCGCGTATTATATATGTAAGTATGCACAAGTATATCTCATTGTTACTTTCACAGAGGGTAAAAGGGACAGAAATTATTGAAACACACTCGAGAGAGTTAAAATGGGCTGTCATCTTTATTTAGAATTCTGTATGTAATATGGTCATGTTTGGCTAGCATGCTTCACAGAGTTCATGCATCTCACACACATACATGGTCACATAATGGAAGAAGTTGTCCTTGGAGGAACAGAACAGGTCCTCAGCACGTCTGCCAAGTGGCCTTAATTTTTAGGTCTTAGAAGTGAGCACAGCTGCGCCTTCCCAGAGAAGGTCAGGAATAACTGTTGTGCTCTGCCAGTGCACTATGGGAGATCAGCAGACCTAGCCGGGTGTTGATGCCGGCTCCTCTGATCCTTGCTAACTTCTCAAGGAACAAGCCGTGAGAGAAGACTTTAGTAATGGAGCAGGACATGCAGAACGTGACGGTCCCTGAACTATTCCAGGAGAGTTGCGGAGAAAGGAGTGTGCTCAATCTCTTTCCTCAGGTGAGTGAGGTGGAAGACATGGAAAGGAGTCCTTCTGG